AAAGATTGGTAAAGACAAATGTTCGAAAAATTGCAAAAGAAAAAAATAACAATTACTTAAATTATAATGGAGATGGGTTTATGATGATGATGATAATAATAATAAGTGCAGAGCCCAAATGTTTAGGAGTTGAAAGTTGAAATTTGGTACTCAGTTAGAGTACAGCATGAGAATGCACACTAGAAAAAAATTTTTGGAAATTCCCCTCGCGGATGAGAGGGAGAGGGTTAAGGATTATCCTGAAGAAATCGGCTTCTACTATACTATTTTAGATACAGTTTTTTGCACATTTTTGTCTGAAAATTGACCCATCTCTCCTCTGATGTAATTAGAAAATTTTTAGACCTATCTAAAAATTTTCTAATTACCTCAGAGGAGTGGTCCTAATTCTTGCACTCGATGAAAATGGGTAAGATCAGCTATATAACTATAAAGGTTATCGTAAGTAAGAGTTTATCACACCAAATGACCAATCTAACACATTTTAAAACTTCTTTATTTCTCTACTGTACACAATTTTTAAAAATTTTTATGTTAGATTGGGCACTCAGTGTGATAAACTCTTACATAAGATAACCTTTGTAAATATAACTCAAATACAGTAATACCCCGAACTTATGCGATAGGTGGGACCGAGCACCGTGTAAGTCAAATTCGCGTAAGTCGGGGTATAATTTTGCAATTTGTGTAAAATCCAAGTCGGCTGTATGTAAGCTAATAAATGTTCTCGTTAATCTTGTCTCGTCTTTTGATTTGTTCACGGTTACAAGAAATCACCACATAGAGTCTCTAAAGTCTCTGTAGATATAACAAACACAGAAATAAATAATACAAAATAAATTGTAGCTATGCGTCAACTCCACACAACACGTCCGAACATGTAAGCTGAACAATAGTGTGAGAGGAGTGAGTAATCGAGAGTTGCGTGGTGCTCAAACAAAAGACAAATCAACGAGATTTGAAAATCGTGTAACTCTGGGTTCGCGTAAGTCGGGGTAGCGTAAGTTGAGGTATTACTGTACTATAATATAATATAGTAGAAGGGGTAGAAGTACAAAATAATCTAATAATCTTAATATTTGCTGCTGTTATTTTTTACCCAAACAACATCGAGCTCATCTGCTAGTGTTAGTATAAGTATGTAATTGAGTTGGAATGGCACAACTGTTTGTTACCATATACCAAGGAGTATAAAAGATCCAACTAGATCAAAGAAAGACGTGAAGCTCCTGAGCAAGTGTAATTGGCAAGCAAAGATTTTAAGACAAGTATCTCCTTTGGTGTGATGAGTAGGCAAATTAGATCGTAAGACGTCTTGTGAATCTTGTAAATAGTCTAGTTTTCATATTTGTCAGATTTTTGTGGAGATAGTTCTAATCTAATTAGCTTAGAACTATCTCCACAAAAATCTGAAAAATTCTAAGTTAAGTTTTCAAGTTTTTGAAAAGTTTTTTTATATACTTGTTGTTTTGGTTTTGATTTAAGATAAAGTATTATTAAATTTTATAACTTGTACAGTTAGTTTCTTTTAACTTATTTTGTATTTATTACTATTAACTATTGTATGTAGTTCAGAGAATAATAGTAAATTTAATTGTTTTTTCTATGCTTAGTTCAGTATTTATTTCAGGCTTTTTCATACATTAACAGATTTCTACATTTGAACAAATTCATTCGTGTTTTTGCCCGTTTAAAAGTCCGAGCCTGACACCAACCAACCATTGATTTCATTTTTTTTTTCTTGTGTAATGCCACACATTAGGTGATTTCTGGGCTTTGAAAAAATTAGATGTTACATGCCTGCATTGTTTGCTATAATGTCCAGTCTAATATAGCTTGCCATGCCCTTAAGATTTGTTTTTATTTAAAATTGATAGATAGACCATGGCAGTTTGCTTTAAATATTTCCAATGCTTCTAAATTCTTAAACTGATTTATATGGCAAATTCATTGTGTTAGGGTAGTGTGTTGTAATTCTGGGTTGATGTGGTTATCATTGCATATATAGCCTAGGCAGTGGTTTTTCTGTTCTATCATTTGTATAGGCTTTTGTCAGGATATCAAGAACTGATAACACTAAGTGATAGTTGATGTACAGTACAGTACATAGGAATTATGCTAATAAGAATCCACTGTATATTTATTTGAAGAAGTATTTATGAAAGTCTTACAAACTGATTCAATTAAATTTTATAATCTAAATTTTTTACAGGTTTTTCAACTATTGAATGTTAATGCATATGATCTCAGTGTTGATATGCTTGATGTTCATGCTGTAAGTAATTATTATAACTTTTTTATTAGTAGAAAGTAATAGAATGCTTAATATATGAAATAAAATTTTACAGGATAGAAATACGTTTCACAGATTCGATAAGTTTAATGCTAAATATAATCCAATTGGTGAAAGTCGTCTAAGAGAGATGTTTCTCAAAACAGACAACTATATTCAAGGAAGTTTTTTTGCTTATGTCTTAAAGGTAGAATTTAAAAAACTTGTTAAATATAAAATTATTTTATAAAGTTATCATTAGTAATAAAATCTATAATTGTGTTGCTTTTGCTGGATTGGAGTTTTAAGAAAATATATTCAAATAAAATTTAAACAGTCATATTCTGTGTAAGTAACATACATGAAAACGAAATTAGCTCTTACATCATTTTTAGTAATAAAATATATTTTATAATTTTATTTTAAAAACAAAATTACAAGAAAAATAAATAAAGACAAATCCAATATACTAAAATCAGAGAGACAGTTTACTTACTTTTGACGTTAAATAAAATAAACTGGTCAAACAAACAGCTGCATTGTTATTGGGCTATATTAAGACTAATTAATATTATGTCACTGTTTGCTGTGAACCAGTATATTACCAGTATGGTTATATTTAAATTAATTGGTTGATTTGGAAGCGAAGATCGGATGGAGATCTGGGTAGTGTAATCAGCAATGCATATGTATGGTAAGCATGAATTGAGGGATCAAGTCCTATTCCTGACCAGTCTTTTTTTCTAAAATATTCTAAATTAAATATATTTCTAATTATTAACTACAATGTGGATAAGGGGTACTAAATTTCCATTTTTCTTTTCTCTATAAATTTCAAGTAAGTTTGGATGTTAGAAGTGCTGTATTGAAATTCTCAGATTTTCAATGACAATGAGTTTACAGTCGACCCCCCTATAAGATAGAGATACGTTCCATTCTCTAGGAATCCGCTTTCTTACGAATCCTTCCAATCACAACCCGACACGTATCAAGTTTACGGACTACGGCTGTTTGAAAGATTTTCTTCCATAAAATTAATCGATTCTAGACTAATCCGACTCAACATTTCCAAAATACGTATATATTTTTTGGGAATAATCCGTATAAACTACGCTATAAACAAAAAATTGTAGGATTACTTACCGAGTGTCACCATTCGACATTGCCATTGCTCAACATTGTTTTCGTCGCGGAACAGCTCAGCAAAGAGCGGCCGATTTCTAACAACTTATTTTTCTGTGAAAACTTCGTAGAACTTCGGAGACATCATTAATATAAATAATTTTAATCGCCGTTGAATAAGAAATGTTTCTTTCACAAGAAATGTATAAAATTACAGTACTGTATTAGACTTACGGTACCTAATTTACATACTGACAGACGATAGTTAGCGTAAAAATCTCCGTAGCGTGGCGCCACGCTAGACGGCGGAAATTATATATTTAATTATAACAAAGTTACAATAAGTTAATATATAATTATATATACAGTACCTAATTTATATATAATTAATATATAATTATATGTACAGTACCTAATTTATATATAATTTATATAATACTGTCCAGACGATAGAAATCTCTCCGTAGCGTGGCGCTACGGACGGCGGGAAAGTAGTTCGGCTTCCCGATGACGTTTGAGGTGTTTATAGGGAACTTTTACTATTTTTTACGGATACCGGTAGCAATTTTTTCGTAGTTTTATAGGAATCGTAACTATAGGGACCGTAATTATAGGGGGGTCGACTGTATTTGCTTAATTTGCTCTTACATATGCATTTTGGAATAATGTACACTTTTGTTTTCTCTTTAGAGTTATTTCTACATAAAAAGTCAGTATATTATATATCGTACATTATTAATATTTTTAAACAATAATAGAATCAGTACTTACAGGTTAAAAAATAATAGTTTAAATTTTAAAAATTGTTCAAATGTCTAGATCATACACTTTAAAATCTTGTTAAAATACAGCATCTTTATCCATAATGTTAAATAAATAAACAGATTTATTTAACATGTTTAAATGATAAATAAGATAGATTATACAGGTTTTATTAATTTTGAAGAAAATGCATTTTGAACTGTCTCTCAATAGTACTTTCTTTATTCAACATCAGTCTGGTTAAAAACATTATCAATTTTAGATTACAACTATAAATGTACATATTACAATGAAAACTATTACCTGAACAGTAGAAGTTGTGTGTGTTATATTTATACAATACTTATGGCAACTATATTCTTATATACTATAAAATAACTAACAAGAGAATGTCATGGTGGGCTCACCAATTTTGATCAAACTTGGTGAGGTTATAGTGTGTCCCCGACTACTGATATGTGCCAAGCAGTAAGGCACATTACTCAAAATTAAAGTTGAAAATTTCACAATCACTTAAAACCTTCAGAATATCTATTATTTGCAGTGTGGCTGGTGACTTGGGAGGCATGCCAGTTTCATTGTCATGAGGTTGGTATTTCAAATGCTGTTGGTATCAATGTGATCTTTTTTTTTTATAACATTATAATTTACACTTTATAATAAATTAAAGAAACCAGGAATATTTTGAAAGAGAAAAACAGACTCGTTTAAAAATGTGAGATATGAAAGAGTTTTCGTTAGCCCACTAAGGCAAACACCCAAGAAAAAGAAACACTCATAGTAGATGTTACAAATTCAATTTATATTTGCATGATATAACTATGTACAGGTTCAGTAAAGGATGCCAACTCTAGGGTGGCTACTCCAGCAGTAATCTTAAACCTGATTGTTGGTAGAACAATTACAAAAATAAAATGGCCATGTCACACTGAATCATGATCACAATAATTCAATACTGTAAACAAGAATAATGATTACAATAATAATTTTCCTAAAACTAACTCTTAATACTACACTTCTATGCACTGTAAGCTAGAACTTCTATATACTATTACAAAAAACCTTTCTCACTTTTGTAATGGTATAATACTTGAAAGGTGTTTTGTAACAGTATAATACTACACTTACTCTAATAAAAGAAAATTGAAAATAGGGAGTAAGAAGTAGTGAAGATGGCAAATAGGATAGGAAAGAATATCTGAATCTCTCATTACCACGAAGGCCATGTTTGAGTTTAAATGCAAAATACTTGCTTGTATCTTTCGTTTTGTCAGTTCTTCAGTTTTCTTATATATTTTATCCTAAAATTTGGTTGCACATTCAGACTCTTAAAGCTGAAATGTCTGCTTAACACAATAAAGTTCGGCCTGAAAATTTCAAAGTTACCACTCGAAGTTCTAGGCTCATTTATCTCTTGGCCACAGGGCACTGTATCATCTCTCCCGTTTTGGGATCTTCTTTCTTCAAACACAAACCCAAAATTGACCTTCCTTTTGCTTCATATGTCCTCAGATAACCTCACATACAATGTTGGTGAATTCTAGGAAATGGACCTCACCTCTAAGAAATAATAATTAAGAAGATAAGAAAGTTCTAGAAGTTGGAAAGAATAAAGAGCATGAGAAATTGTCAGAAGGACAAAAGCATATAATATGGTGGATAGTCACAAAAAATATACAGTACAATAAGCAGGGTAAAAGAACAACAAAATTGACTCATTTCAAGTAACAAGTCAATGTCAAAACAATTAAGAAATGTTACATAACAATATTTATTTAAAAACAAAACATTTTCTGTATGTTCATGTACAATACATACATACTTTGACAATGAAGTCATTGTTTAACCTAAACATGTCTATAATTGCATTTTCATTTGTTAAAGAATGAAAATATGGCTTTGATATCTTCTGCTAACATCAATAGCATAGAAATTTGTTTTGCAGAAGAATGACTGCATGATGATATTTGCAAAATTACGATTAAAGGATGTTTTTACATATTGTGAAAGCTTCCTTCAAAACAAGATCTAATTGTAGCTGAAGGTTCTTAGTCACTTTTGGAAGTTGCAAAAGTGGTAGGAGGAAACATTAAGTGCCCCAATATTTTCAAATGTGATATGGTATGGTAGGCAAGATTCTCTTCCAAATTAGTTGATAATGGAGAAGTGTTTTTAAACATTAATGAAGTTTATTTTTCAAGTGACATGTAAATCATCATCTTATTGTAAAAATGCTGTATTTATTTAAATTAACACATTAAATAAATCTGCCTCTAGATACATTTGATTTTAAAATGTCTGGAAGTGTAGAACCACTCATGGGGTCTGGTTATCATAACTGGCAACACATCCACATGGTAAGTGGGAGTTGCAAGTTTGTGTTTGTGCTCCAGGCCAATTTTCTTCTTCCAGAATGTTGTAAATTATTTGTTAAATATTAATTTGTTATAATTATTAAATTTAATAAGAGATGGCACCTAAAGTATACTTCTAGTAACAAATCACTTAAAATTTAATTATTAATGTAGCTAAAAAATAGCCCAATGCATTACGGTATCGTAACTATCACCTTTTCAAATTATTGGAGCAATCAAATAAAAACAAAACCTTTAAATATCAGTAACAGAACTTTAGCAGAAAATTCGAACATTTTCGGCCTTCACCAAGGCATGGCTCACACTTTTTAATGAAACAGAATTCCAAAATGGAATGTTAGAACGATAATATTCGAAAAATCAATTTTTAAAACTTCGAATACTTCACAATGTAAGCGAAATTCATATGGTAGATAGACTAAAAATTGTAAATGTATGACCATGTCACGCATACATTTTTAAGATGTACCGTACATAGTGTCTGAGATGAATTAATATAGGTTAACTTTGCCTGAATTTTTCATAAAGGTACCTCCATGCATGCAATACTGTATTGCAGTCTTTAAAGTTAGTACACTTGATAGTTAGGCTGGCTTTATATATTTCCAAAGCCTCCACGCTATGAATATGGTCCGTTTGATAGACCTGCCTAATTAACTTGGTATTCTGGAGGTCTGCATGCATGTCTGGGTTGGTGGCATACATGGATAAGGCAGTGGTATGCCTGTTGTTTGTAAGGTTGTATTGATGCTTACATACCATCTCGTATTGATTGTTTAGTTAAGCCAATATATACTAATTTCCTTTGGAATCTATCATCCCTTACCAGTATACAGTACACTCCTGGGGCTCTGCTTTAATCCATCTTATCCTTTTTGTTATAAAATATAAAACTAATTAAATAATAATAAATAAATAATGTTTTAATCCAATTACTTTTATTAGTATTATTATTCTGTACATCATGGTTATTTTGTAATATTGTATAATTTTGTAATTTTCTTATATAAGTAAATTAAATTCCGTGTGTGTGCGTGAGAAACTACAGTAGAGCGTCGATTTTCCGAAAGTCAATCATCTGAAACGTCAATCATCCGAAAGAATTCCAGTCGGCAAATTTAAATTTTCGCCAGTGCTGTGGCGCTTCAATCTTTGGCTATGTCTTGGGTTACTCAAATATTTTACGTTTTTGATACTAAATTAACATCTGAAGTATAATTTTTTATT